CCACTCCACGAGAGAGAGAGAGAGAGACCTTCTATACGAGATGTGATGGGATGTCCTGGAGTGGAAGGTACAGCCAGTATCCTGGCAGCCACACACAGGCGACGTGCTCCCAACTCTTCTTGAGTAATTCATAGAAAGGTCGTAAAAGTCGAGTCAAAGTAATTATGCGAGAGCCAGCGCAAAAAAACACACACACACACAGACACATAGAAAAAGGGATAGGGGTCGCGGGGAAACAGGAGTAAGCAGACGAGGATCCAGGACCTGGGTCCGGGGTCCGGGGTGCCGGGTCCCGGGACCCGCTTTCAGGCCAGAGCCATTTAGATTGTATGCAAGAGTTGTTAAGACAAATACAAGTAGAAGTACGCACACAGACACACCTACGGCACACCCCGCTCCCTCCCCCCTTTAACCCTCTGATGACTTGCGTTAATTGAGTGGACCGTGTGCCTGTGGCCGGGTGGCTGCTTCGGTGGCGTTGAGGCTGCTTCTAGAAGACGGCAAGGATGGACGGGGCGTGGCAGCGCCGCACGGCCTCAGCGCGTTAAAGTGGCAGCTGCCTCTGCTTTCCACAGCCGCCTCAAGTGGCAGCCGCGCTGAAGCCGCCGCACAAAAGTATGCAACAATTTTCAAGCCACACCCACGCCCCCTCCAACGAGAGACCAGCTGCGGGCCGTGGATGCTACGGGGTGGGGCTGTCGCTCTATAAGGAATTACAATGCGGCTTTAATTGCTGAAAGGCCACAAATTACTGAGAAAGACGTTGGAGCTAATGAAACATGTGGGTGAAACGTGAACGGAAGCAGGCCCCTCCACCCACTCAAAGATTGCGAACGGAATTAAGCGAAACTGAAAGCCCTCTGATTCGCGTTGCATATAAAGTGGAATAACGAGAAACAGGACTCAAGAGCTTACAACATACAGACAGCAGGACAGAGCTCATTCACGTTTCAGAATATCGACAATAATACGATTTCATATGTGATTTCCCCTCCGCCCGACCCCGGTTTCCAGCTGTAAATCTACAGCAAGGGCAATTCTCAATCTGGATGCGGTAAACAGAGATTTCAATTACGGCTCGTCCCATTACCCTTTGGGTATTAATTGCGTTTTATGCCATTACGCCATGTCATTTCGCTCAAGGATACCATCCCCATGCAAGTCAATAAATGCACTTCAAGTGCAGTCTATTGGCATTAACTGAATAAGCCAATATGGATGGATAGTTATTGAAACATGTCCGACAGGAAGACGGTCGAATGGGGAGTCTCAATGGCTGTGGGTGCTGGTGTGGGTGTGGGATAAGCAAACATGTCAATCGGAACGGGTTGGACAACTGCACAGAGAGTGTACCCATCGTTGACGAATGTGCCTGTCAAAATGGCAGCCAATTTGACGCCAATGAGCGGGCGGGCGGGGGTAGAAGTGCATATTGTGCCACTCAGGCACTGAGTAGTTGGCATGGAATGGCCTTGACACTTGACATTTGATAGAAAAAATATTATCAAACAAAAAAAAAAACAAAGAAAAAGCGCGCTTCAAATTTGACATATTGGTTCTCTGCAGATGAAGGCTACAACCCCATTTGCCAGCAGCAGTCACCCCCCAGCACCCCCCAGCACCCACAGTGCTCTGCTCTGCTCCTGCTCCCTGTGGTCCTCTCTGTTTGCCTATGATAATGTGCGTAAAAAGCATGCAAATTTCTTTGCCTACGAATAAATCTGAAGAAATTAAAGGGAGGCTATTGAATTGGTTCACATGCCTCACAGACTTTCACCGCCCACTGGTAGATGGCACTCCATCTTCCTCCTCCACCATCTTTCACCTGGTTCTTTTTTCCGCACCCATCACCCCATGTGCCATCAATGGACTGAATCCTGCGGTGAGAGCTGCCAGGACCACGATTCATTTCCACACCGCATATATGAATATAAATTCTGCATTCACCATCACCGTCAGACTCTTGTTTTTTCGCTGTTGCGGCTGTATGCTGCGTGTGGCCGCACGCAGAAATTGAGCCGTAATATGGCCAAGGCTAGCGCGCCCCCAGTAGGAGGCTGGTCCTGGTCGTGGTCCTGGCGCTGCTCCTGCTCCTGGTACTGGTACTGGTGTAATCCCCGTCAATTTTTCAGCACACATTTCGGGGCGGGTGCATCGCTCCAATCGTGTTTTCCTGGCCTCGACTGGAGCTGGGGCTTGGGCGGACGGAAAATGGACAACAACAATGGCGAACGCTAAATAAACTATGCAAGAAATTCATGCAAATTTTATGCCATGCTGAAGCATTTAAAAATGACTACGAACGGGAGGATGGAAGGATGGAAGGATGGAAGGATGGGGACGCCCCCGCCTGTCGTTTTCTATCCGCGGGGGTCTTACAGTCACGTTGAAAACTGATTACGAACATGGCACCGGCGCAAGGGCACGGGGGAAAGAGTTGCAGACATTGAACGAGAAAACGGGGAAAATTGCTGCAGAGATAGGAATTTCTGTACACAATTCCAATGCGTTTCTGACATAATGGAATATTTCTGGAATCCATTGAATCATTTTCTTTTCAGCTTGAATTCTTTTTCCAGCTCAAAGGACCGTCTTGGCCTTTAACTTGATCTTTAAAGTGGAGCTTGGCTTTTTTATTTGAAGCTAAAACAGGGAAAAAGATTGCACTGGTCAACTATTGTTAGCCACTCGCACAGCTCCATCTTCACCTCAGACGGAGACCGAGACCGAAACAGAGACTGTTACTGGCACTGCATCTGGTTCTGGGTCTGGTTCTAGGTCTGGTTCTGGATCTGTTTCTGTCTGTGGATGGTGCCGCAGAGAGTAAACCGCGCTGGCTGCTGCGGTTGCCGACAATTTGTGTTGCATTGTTTGAAATTTTCACGAGAGAAGCAGACGGCAGAGTTTCCCTTGCCCTTGCGGTCGGTTGGTGGGTGGATGGTTGATGGTATCCTGCTTGACTGGCTTCCTGCACCTCCACCAAGCCGAAAGAGAAGCCGAAACAAATGTTGCTTTAATGCTGCGGTCAGCTGACTGACGTTCTCCCTCGTTCGTCGGTATTTTATATCCGGCGGCGGGGAGAGAGCTTCATTTGGGGGCTAATGTGATTGGAGAATGGCGTGCTTCCGCCTCCGGCAAGTAGGGAGTGCCATCGCCTGCAAGTTATCCACAGATGGGGGGACCAGGCAGACAATCACACGTAATGAAGACAAAGATCCCGATTCGGAGTTATTTATAGTCAAAGGAACTTAAATTATCAAAACAAGGCCCAAAAGACGGCAGTACCGTGTTGTCCTGTGTCCTGTGTCCTGCGGCCTGTGCCCTGTCCTGTGCGTGGGGCACAAAAGGTTGGTTTCCAAGAGATTAATTGCGTGAATAATCACTCTTTGTTGAAGGGTTTCCTCCGACTCTCCGACTATCTGGCTGTCTGGCATCTTGGCTGATTTACGTTGCGTATGCGCTATATTTATGGCACCTTCAATTAATTGTCCGTTAGATTATTTAACACGAGCACACACTTTATGTGGGGCCTCCTGCGGGCCCTTGAATTATTAGCAGGCATTAATTTTTCAGGCGCCTGGCTTAGCCATACGCATAAACTTTTCCCATTTGCCATTTCTCCCCACTACCGTGTGTGGGTGGTTGTTCTTTAGTTGGTTAACAGTGACAGTTTAAGCCCTTCACGTTGATTGACTGGAACTCTGTGTGTGCCCCCTCAACGGGGCTTTATTGTTGCGCCTGTGGCAACGATTCCCAGGCAAACAATGGCCGTGGTGAGAGGTGAGAGCTGAGCGGTGGTGTCCTGGCAGATAGGATTCATGGGAGGATTGGGACATACATATGTACATTCTCCTGCAAGATGGAACGAAATTTATATGCTCTGATAAGCATTCGTTTTCCATATTTCTTTCACGTCTCTGGCTCCCATTTGATATGGTTTTTCAGATTCAAAGCAAATGTTTTTTCTTCACTGGCTTCTCTTTCGGAGGGTAGGGGCGAGGAATGGAATCATTCGCATCATTTATTCCAATCAGTTGCTGGTGCAGGCTGCAGCAGCTGCCACATGGCTCATGTGCACCCGCTCTCCGCTCAATTCCATCCGCAAATCCACTCGCATTGTTCTACAAATGCGGGCTGGACATAATTAAAACCACAACTAGTGAAGCCCGTAATGTCCCATCATCATCATCATTATCATCATCATCGTAATCATGATGATCGTTGGCCATGGCCGGGCAGGGCAGGGCAGGGCCTGCACATCCGAGTAACAATGAGCAGCGATGGTCAGGCATTGTCTATCCTGCTGAGGCAGCATATCCATTTCCACTGCCACTGCCCACTGCCCACTGCCCACTGTCCACTGCCCATGGAATCCATAGCCACGGCTGACACACGAGCCGGAGACACACAATGCACCTTTCTTTTTCTGCATGCCGCTTGCCACTCCCGCAAGCACGCATATGCCACATTTACTGCGTACATATCCGAATTTTAATTATGCGTTCTGTGTGCCGCTGGCAGTTAATTACACTGCACGAAAATGCGTTAAATCAACATGGCAAACCGCACATTGCGTATACGCTCCGTTAAACCGGTTATTAGTATCGGATTTGCATTTCATGATTTCGGCCTCGCACTGATCCCCTGGCTGCTGGCTGCTGGCTCCTGGCTAGCAAAACCATTCTGTCAATTAGCAAAATTATAATATTCGGCCCCCAGCCACGACCCCTTGCGGCGGGATTTCCCGTCTATGGTGGATGGTCCCTGTGGCGGCAGTTGCACATTTTCCCAGTTAATATGGTCGGGGTTTTCGGCTAAGAGGATTTGTGGTGTGGGTCTGCCGACACCAAAGCAAATGAGTTTTACAGTTTTGTTGCATAAGCAGTATCTCGCGACTAAACGATTTCCCGCTTCACGAATCAATTTTTGAAGCTATTGCGGCCCTCTTTGGCCCCTTGAAAAATGTTCTTATTTTGAGATGAAATTCCCTTCGGTGCCTGTGGGCATCTACCTAATGCTCGTATCATCCGCCATCGCCGAGGAATTACCTGGTAAGATCAGTGGAGGTTTCTCGTCTACATTCGATACCATTCCATTCCATTCCCTCGTCTAGAGTGTGTCTGCAATGACGTGATGGTCAAGTGTGTCCGCTCCTGCCAAAAGCTGTGCGTGGATAAACTTTATATACGCAAATGCAGGTACGTCCAATGCAAAAGAGGCTGCGCCTGTACCCCCGGAATGGTGCGGAAGCGCGACATCACTGGCATGTGTATCCATCGAAAGGATTGCCACCGCTGGATCATCTAGTCGTTTCTCAATAAAGACGAACAATATAAATAGCTTGCATTTCTTGGGTTCTTTCCCATCTGTCAGCGACAGGTCGGGTTCTGCTGTGCCAATTTTAGACCTGATTTTATTTGGTTTTCAATGACTTTTCATGAGCGAATTGCTCTCAGCAGTTGTCTCATTGTCTGTCCCCCCAGTCATCCCTCTGGCTGTTCGCTTTTCCGCATTTTCTTTTCTCTTTTCTCTGGCTTGTACGCAGTGAAAATGTCATGTCCATGTCAAAGTCTTGTATTGTGTTGACTTGCATTTGACAACTTAATGAATTTAGCTTTTCCACTCGCCGCATAAATCATTCACGCCACTGGCGCCCTTTACTCTACAGATCTATACGCCCCCGCCCTCGGCATTATCTTTTTGGCCATAATACGTGCCGATATTTGCCCAACCCAGCACGATATTCCATAAGCCCCACCACATCATTGTCGCGTATTATGGGAAAAGTTTCTCAAAAGCGAGAAATATAACCCAAAAAAATGTCCGTTACGTGCTCCATAAAATATCCGACATTTCTGACCAGAGGCCTGCTCCGAACCGAAATATTCTCTATATCTACACATATTTTAGTGGCCGCAATTTCCCACTTCTTTGCTTCTATTTTTGACAATGTGCAAGTTTTTCTTTTTTGGTGGAAAAACTTTTTCATTTTTATGCTGTAGCGGCAGCAGCAGCAGCAGCACGAACAAGAATACCACTAACTAGGTACAGCAGCGGCGGCGGCGGCGGCGGCGGCGGCAACAACAATGCGGCATGTGGCAGCCAGGAGCTCAAGTGTTCGTCTCGGAAGTCCTGAAAGGGCCCGAGTTGTATGTAATTTGGTTTTATGCTTTATCGCTTGCTTGATTTTTATTATGATTATTATCGTGGGAATTACGATGCAACTTTTGGGTTACACCCACCTCATTGCCCCTGCCCCTTGGCCCTAGTACCACCCCTCTAGCATCCTACCATCCCGAAGGAAAGTTATTTTTGTGATTGCTGCTGGGGTCCCCATAGTGGGGCTTCCTGGAAATTTCCAGCTGATTTATTGAGCTTTTCTAAGCCCACACTGCCCTGCCCTGCGCTGCCCTGCCCCGCCCTGGCCTGCCCTGTCGGTGGATGGAGGATGATTAGGATGATGATAGGCCCTGTGTATGAGTACTTGATGTCTTGATGTGACTTTGATGGTTTAGTGCAGAGCCCCCTTGAGTGCGAAACGAGCAATTGATTGGCTTCAGGCTTCAGCACACACGGCAGCACTACATTTGCTGGAAAAGCTGTTTAATGGGTCACGGGAACTTACTTAAAAAGATAAAGAAAGAATAAAACATGCAATTAGATACAGCAATCACATGTGCATTGCAAAAGGATTCTCTGATGATATTTTAATCAATTTAAGTGGCATTTGCTCCAGTTTCAATATTGAACAATCCCCCAGTTCTCCCCCAACATTCCCCCCATTCATCCGTTTGCCGCAAATCCCATCTATGGGTGGGGGGGTACAATTTTTCTTTTCCTGCAGCTTATCCCTGGCCTAAAACGAGCTGCCTTCTAGTCCCGTTTACCCCATCAAATCCACAGCATTAAGCCCTAAAACCATTTTTGTTCTGCTTCTGTTGCAATTGCCATGCAATGTTGGGAAGGGGGGGGGGGGAAGGCAAATCTTCAACCACAAAGGACTCGAAACCGAACGCAAAACAAAACATTAGAGCGGCACTGAAAGCAGCACAGAGTGGAGGGGCACTAGGTGGGGTGGGGAGTGGGGAGTGGAGTGGGTAAAGCAAAACTGATGTTGAAAGAGGGGGCAGGACATTTTCCACCTGCCCTTCTTTCCCTTCTACCTTTTCTTCTTGATCTCCTCTAGCGTATATGCAAAATGCCTCGCCAACAATGGTGGCAGGTTGAAGCCACATCGGAGGGGCAGTGGGGACAAAAGCTGAGGAGCACAAAAGGCCACTAAAGAGATGTAGCACATGTGTGTGTGTGTGTCTGTGTGTGTGTGTATTTAAGAGCAGAGTCAAGCGTTTGTGATATGCACAGCGCAAAATCCAAATTTAATGACCAAGGAAAATAGACAGCAAACGAGAGACCAGAGCCAGGAGTACGAACAGGCCCACAGGACACCTACCCCTACCCCTCCCCCTCCCCCTCCCCCTCGTCGGGGTCTGAGTGTGGGTGTGTGTTTTTGTGTGCATGGGGGCGTGGCACTAATGTTAGTTGAATGTTTGCCGAGCCTTTGTTATCGGCATGCGTCTTTTTGCAATTGGATATGCCTTTTATGCCTCTGGGCTGTGTTAATGTTGACAATGCTCGACAGAGCCAAGGACATGACATGAGCTGGCCCCCACAACCCCACCCGCACCCCTTTTCCAGCCCCACTGCCGATATGAAGTGTTGTCATGGCCCCGGACGAGTGACCGAGACCAGCACAAGGACCCTGTCGACCACGCCCTCGGGCAAAACAGCATCAACATCGACATCAGGGCAGCAGGGCATTCTCCTCCGCCTCGACATCTATTGATGTCTGTCCAACTACTCCTGCACTAGTCCATAGCCATCGTCATCGTCATCTTCATCTCCATCTCAATCCCGTCCTCTGCCCCCTGCCTTGTCCCCACCCACTATGGCAAATTATGACATTGACAAGCGGACCAGGAGCCGGCCAGGAGGTGTCACATTTCCCAGTCGGCTCTTTCGGCCTGCCAGCAATTTGTTGCCGGCCTGTCGGTCACACACGAACTATGGGATACCGTACCGCCTTCCCGCCCGGCCATAAAACTTCTTGGCAAAATACTAACTCTAATTTGAAGAGATCACTCTTACATCTAAATCTAAGTATCTGCCAGAGGATCTGTCTTGTGGGGGGACTGGCTTTCCATAGTTTAGCTGCCATCCTTCTCAAGGGTCTCGTAAGTGCAGCAGCCGCCAAAAGTGCTGCATACTTTGCAGCGTCTTCTACTTGGTCTTGTCCTTGCTGTTAAATTGTATTTCCATTACGACTGTGTGTGTGTGTGTGTGTTTCTTGTTTATACACCCCAAACACACACACACACACTACCACTATTTTGCCCAATGTTTTTGTTGTTTTTGTTGTTGTTTTTGTTGTCGTTTTTTGCATTACAAATAACATTTCTGTGTGCTGGCGTGGAACGTGCGAGCACTTTTAACATTTCAACATTTTCATTGCGTCTCTGGCAAGGGGCAAGGGCAGAGCAGGGAAAGACGGCGAAAGAGTGCTAAAATTTATGTGCATATATGAATGTATGTTATCTTTAGGGGTTGTGAGGGGGGAGGGGGGAGGCGCATCCATTCAAGCGTTGCTTGTGATTCATGCATAATTACGGCAGGGGGGGGGGGGGGGGGGGATACGTGAGTGACAAGAGCCAGAAAACAGATTTCTATGACTGACATACTATAGATATCTATATTTAAATCCAAAATAGAATTCGAAATGGCGTTCCACACGAGCATAACTCGAATTGATAGGCATTGCAGGCATTAAAAGCTTTGTCGGAGGGATTGAAGGCTTCAAGGAATTGAAATATAAATTGGAGATGAAATGAAATGTCATCAAAAGTTTTCCGGGGAAATATGTTTAATCGCGGGATAAAATGACCGAGAACTAGGCCCTATAGATATTCAAATTCAAATTTAAATTAAAGCAAAAACTTATGCCCCTTAGTCCCAACGCTGCTGCTGGGTCTTTCTTTTGTGCCACACTCAGTTGCACGTACAGTCACGCACATTGGAAAAGCTTTTAACACGACATTATGGGGTCCTGCCCCCTGCTGAATGGAAACTTTGGGCATTAAAAATCCCCAAAAATGTTAATGCGACAAAATGTAAATTGAATTCAAATGTGGGTGCAAGATTGGTCCACTTGACCCTGCCGACTTTTGGTCAATTGAAAGCAATTAAAATGGGAGTTTTTGGCACTAGGAAAAGTTGCAGAGCTGGAAAATATGTTGAAGCGGCAGCAGAAGGTGGTGGAAGCAAAGTGGGTGGGTGTGTGGGTTCAACAATGAAGCATAAAGTGGAATTAGGGCATGAATGGAGATTCTTATGGGAAGAGACAGCGTGGAGAGGTGCCACAAGATGATGATGATGTTGTTACGCGCTCGTTCCTGTTTCTGGCTTCTTGTGGATCTTCTTAAGGATTTATGAGGCTTCCGAAGTGCGCAACAGGGGAGGCAACAGCAGCAGCAGCAGCAGCAGCAGCCTCAGCCCTGCCCTGTGCAACCCCCTGAGCTTTGAGCATTGAGCATTGCTCTTGCGTAAACTTAAAGTCATCCGCAAAATGGCTGCCAATGCAAATACAAAATGGCCGCCAGCCAATGCCTCGTTTATCCTCTTATGAACAATAATAGTTACAATGCCGCCGCCGTCGCCGCCGCCGCTGCCACTGACTCTTGCCACACACATACAATGTGTTTGTAGCTACTTCTCCCACCCCGGAATGCCTGGCTGCCTGCCAGTAATTAAAAGATTAATTTTTAATGTGCGCTTAGTCAAAATGCGACTGTAACCATATGTGAGTGTGTGTGTTCGTGGGTGTGTGGGATCCTTAAAAATAAAAAAATAAACGCACTCTCTCGTTCCACACACATTGTAATTTATATGCTGGGACTGGGGGTTTTCCCGGGCTTTCCATCATCATCAGCAGTCGGTAGCAGTCAGTTTTATGAGCCATTTTCACTGCTGCTCGGAAAACTCCGCATCCCATTCCCCATCAGATTTATTATTGTAGCTCCTGCCGATGCCGGTTTTTCTTATTTTCCTTTTGTTTAATTTTTTATTATTACACTCTCGGGGTTTCCCCTTTTTTTCCCGTTTCTTTTTTTGCTTTTGCCTTTGCTGCAACTGCAAATGAAACGTGCCACACGTGGCACACCTTTAAATTATTAACACTCGTACAGTTTGTCGTACGCCCCCGATTTTGCACTCATTTCATTTTCGCTGGCTTTATGCGGAGCGGGGGGAGGGGATGTCAATTGAGAATTTAACAAGAGATGGAAAAATATTTATCTGTTGATAAATCTGCAACCGTCACAAAAGTGTGAAATATTCAATCGGTTGCCAACGATTTAATATTTTCATAAATTATTTCTTTCATTGATGCGAAATAATTTGCGCTTTTTTTTTTGTTTGCAAAAGCAGCCTTTAAATAAATAAATGATATTTTATGCCCAGAGTTTTCCTCATTAACTGGAATTTTCCTTTAAATTCTCGGCCGCTTATCGCCTAATGGCTGCATGCTGGATGCTGCCCTTTCTCGTGCCCCTGCCCCTGCCCCTGCCCGTGCCCACCGTACCTTTTTGTTGACGGTTCGTGTACTATCATTAATATTTCAAATGTAGAAAACTTTGGGCTGCTGCTGTTGTTCCTCGTCTGTTTACCCGTGTATCTGCAACTCTTTACACGACAAAGCGTCCGCATAATTAGCTGCAGAACAGGAACAACAAAAGCAAGCAAATAATGGACAGGCAGACAATTAGAGAAGGAGTGGACTCTAAATGGAAGCTGGAGATAAGTGAAACCAAAAGCGTTACTCAACCAAATAAACTTGATATATTTCATGGTTTGCTGCCATCCGATCAGATACTATTTCAGGCACAAGCAACAATGGGAATAATCCGAATTGCATTGCGTATCTACAGGGAGAGAGAGAGAGGAAGGGAGAGTGATTCTTGAACCGCATGGATCACTCACTTGGCTCTCCACCTCCAACTCCGTTCTCGGGTTAACCAAGCGTGTGATTCACTGGCATTTACATACCATACCATATACTCTGGAGCCGGCTGGAGGTGTACTTATTGCTGTCACTGTAATGATTACATAGTCAACAGTAGTGGCTGTTTGTGTGTCTTTTGACATTCGACTGCCTGAACTAATAACCGCATGGGGCCTAGAGCCAGATTAAGCTGCGGTTAATGAGCCACACCCCCAGACACAGCCACAGACACAGACACAGCCACAGCCACAGCCCCAGCCACATCAATCTAGCAATTCCAGCCTACGTATACACTGAGAGAAAAAACACTTCTTCTGCCTGGCTTGGCGAGCACTTTCCCTCAGTGTGTCGTTACGCATGCATCTTGTGGGGAAATGTATCTCTGAGCCGAGGCACTTGTATCTCGCATGCGGTGGCAAGGTGATGTTGCATAAGTTTTCCTCGCGGTTGGTAATCGATTCGGTGGCATATCATATGTCAAATAGAGCGCAGCGCCGCGCACTTGACATTGCCACCGAAGATGACGACGATGGTTGAGGTCGTCCTGAGGTCTACGGGGGAGGCTGTGTGTTCAATGGAAATCACAATAGATATATCAAAATTCAATGTTACGAGTGTCTCCAATCGTCAGGATTTTTATTTCCCAAATTAGAGAGCCCACGCAGAACAGGAACGGAGTAGAAGATGCCTCCGAAGAAGAATGCAAGGACGCGTCGCAAGCTCGCCAATCAGTACACGCGCTTCTTCGATGCCCAGAAGAACCTACCCCTGGACCCGAATCGATCGCATCCAACCCTCTACCGGCGCGAGAGCGTCTACGTGCTGCCCAAGCAGCGCCGGCGCCTCCAGCAGCAGCAGCAGCATCAGCCGCCCCACCAGGGGCAGATCAGGCAGCTCGAGCTCGTGCCCGACTGCAGCCCAAAGGCGAAGGGCAGGCCCGCCTGGCGCCCCCGCAATGATGTGGATCACTTCATGGTCGTCACCGAGGACCACACACAGGGCGACCAGCAGCTGGGCAATGACCAGCCCCACCTGGACGCCATCTGCTACGATGTGATGCTGGAGCCGCTGCCGCAGGTCCACATCGAAGGCACCGACGTAGTGCCCACCATTCGGGGCACACGCCTCAGCCTGTGTGCGGAGCACACCCACTTCCCCCTGGTGGCGAGGATCGCGCGCAGCATGGGCTTCCAGCAGGTGCCCGAGCATCGTCTGTGGAATGTCCAGTGGACCGACTGCACGCCCCACCATGATCTGCTGCGGAGCATGAAGCGCTTCCAGCAGATCAACCATTTCCCAGGGATGATGGAGATCTGCCGCAAGGATCTGCTCTCCAGGAATCTCAATCGCATGCTGAAGATGTACCCGGGCGACTACCGCATCTTCCCCAAGACCTGGCTCATGCCCACCGAGTAGGTTTCTTCCCCGATCGATCCGATCCCTGATTCATCCTTGTACATGCTTGCCTGCTCCTCCTTGCAGTGCCTACGACGTGACCACCTATGCCAGCAAGCACAAGCGCACCTACATCCTCAAGCCGTACTCCTCCGGACGGGGACGCGGCATCTGGATAACCCCCGATCTGAAGACCGTCAGCAAGCGGGAGAAGCTCATCTGCCAGACGTACATCGAGCGGGTGAGTCTTGGAACAGTCCACCCAGTAGCCTTTAGGTGGCACTTTCCCCCGCAGCCCCTCCTCATCGATGGGTTCAAGTTCGATCTGCGCGTTTACACGCTGATCACCTCCGTGGATCCGCTCCGGATTTTCGTGTACAACGAGGGCCTGGCCCGCTTCGCCACCCACAAGTACGTGGCGCCCACTCTAGGCAACAGCCACAACGTGTTCATGCACCTCACGAACTACTGCCTGAATCGCCGCAACTCCAACTACAATGTGGGCGAGGGCACGGACGGGGGCTCCAAGCGGAAGCTGAGCGCGTTCAACAAGTGGCTGACGGAGCACAACTACGACGTGCCCGAGTTCTGGGCCTCCGTGGACGATGCCATCGTCAAGACGATCATCAGTGCGTGGCCGGTGCTGAAGCACAACTACCACGTGTGCTTCCCGCGGCACGACAAGATCCAGGGCTGCTTCCAGCTACTGGGCTTCGACATTCTGGTGGACTGGAAGCTGAAGCCCTTCATCCTGGAGGTGAACCACACGCCCAGCCTGAGTGCGGACGAGGTGGTGGACAAGGAGGTGAAGCGACCGCTCATTCGGGACACTCTCAATCTGCTCACGACGGCGCTGGTGGACAAGGAGCAGATCATACGCGACGATCGGATCGAGCACCGGACCCGCCTGCTGCGGAAGGTGTACAACAAGAAGGGGCCCCAGACGCCCAGCTCCTTTCCCAGCCCTGGCCGGGAGGCGGGCGGCAGCGAGATGAGGATGCGACAGGCATGCTCCATCGGTGCCCTGGCCCAGCAGATCGCCTGGGAGGAGAGCCACCTGGGCAACTATCGGCGCATCATGCCGCCCATGGACTCGGAGAAGGTCCACTACTACTGCAAGTTCTACGACCAGACCAAGCAGCAGTCGCCCTTCGCCAACACGGAGTCGAGTCGGCGGCGGCAGCAGCTCTCCAACAACGCCATGGAGAAGCACTACAAGGAGCAGCAGCAGCAGCAGGAGATGCTCCGGCAGCAGCGCTCAATGAAGAGTTCGCAGTGGCCCGGCGCAGCGCTGGAACCTCTGCTGTCCGTCAGCCCCGTGGTGCTGCAGTCGCGCCGCCGCAAGGAGGAGGCCGAGGAGCAGAGGCGCAAGCATCGTGCGCTCATTGCCAGGGAGATCTACCGCCAAAGGGAGCTGCTGCTGGCCCCCACCTGCGCCAAGGAGCACCTGGGCATCTGGCAGTCTGTGCAGAGGAACCACAAAAGGGAGGCTCTATCGAAACTCAGGCCCAGTGTCCGGATCGTAAAGTGCACCAGCGGCGCCCCCAAGCCCCTCCGGCGCAAGCAGCATCGCCACGTCCCCCGTCGGGTGCGCCACCAGCGGATGCTCGAGCGGGAGGCCCTGGACGACAAGCGGTTCGTGGAGCAGCATGCCATGGAGCAGAGTGCTCGCCTCAAGGGCGGCAGCTTCAAGCTGGCAGGGCAGCCGAAAAAGAAAAGGCCCCGCAAGAGCAGCCACAAGCCGAAGGTCGAGCAGAGGGAGGTTTCGGAGCTGCCCGGTGTCGCTCTGGACTCTGGACGATTAATGGGGCATTGGAGCCCGGAGCCCATCAGCGATGGCGAGCAGGAGGAGTACAGCAGCTGGCTGCAGGAGCGCACCAAGGAACTGAATGGCTCCAATCTCCGGGAAATGGTACGAAGTATTCCGCTGGCCTTCTAGCTATCATTTTTAATCTCCCTCTCCTGCAGATCTTTTCGAAAATGTATCAGCAAGGACATCTGACCAAGAACGACATCAAGTGCTTCCCGGATCTGCTGTATAACCTGCTCAGCTCTGGTTCGCCCGAGACCGAGACCGAGCCAGAGACCGAGCCAGAGACCGAGCCCGAACCCGATACTCCCGATTGCGAATTCTGAGCCAGGATCTGTTAGTGTATCTGCATCTGTAACTGTATCTGTGGCTGTGGTGTATTTTCTCTTACTATCGCAACAATTCGCAATAAATTCCACGTGTGTATATTTCTCAAGGAACTCTTTTCTGAATATGAAACCAATCAATACGGAATCTGTATCGGCATCGGGAGGGGAGCCTCTCCTCATCCTTTGACGGCATCTCGTTATCTATTCCCTGGAATATTCCCACATAAAATCCATAAGCTTTATGTGCGATATTCTCTCTGTCACAAACGGCAGCGACACCGACACCGTCGACCATAAAAAGAGCACTCACCCACACAAACAGGCATAAAAAATAATGGTGGCAAAAGCCAGGACGAAACCCCATCTCATCGATTTGTCAAAAGTCCTAGGCGGAAACCTGGAGCCACACCCACTCGCAGCCCCAACCGCCACTCGAGTCGCTCCTTTTTCTGGGATCTTTGTGGCATCTTTGATGGGCGCATGCATAAACAAAATGCAATACAATACGCGGGGCTGTGGGGAGCCTTCAAACCTGCATTATTGAAATCCACAGTTGGCCCAGCAGAAGAGGCGCCACAAGAAGGAGGTGGGTGTGTGGGCGGCTTTGCTCTTTCGGGCGTGGTTTAGGTCTATGGTTGCGGCTTTGCCACATGTCCCTCGCTTCGTGCACACAACGACGTGCCACCACAGCATGCCACCCCTTTTTTTCCATCGACGGTTTTTGTTTGGCTTTTGCCAGGCCACGCATTATGGTCTGGTGGCTTCTGCTCCTGCTAGTCCTGCTACTCCGAGTGCTCCTCTGGCTGCTCCTCTGGCTGCTCCTATGGCTGCTCCTCTGCCTGCCGCTGGCGGTCCTCTAGCATGTGTCACATATTGCAAAAGCTGCAGCTCCAGCTGCCGTTGCATTCCAGGGCTTTGGCTTATGGGTTGACTGCGGCATCTCACCACTTGCCCCACGCCCCTTGCCACCAGCAAAAGTCGAACATCGCTCTGATAAGCTGCTTCAAAGAGGGTTTTACATATGCCAGGCCTCCGCATCAAGGGACAGCGACACGGGGCACGGGTCAGGGTTGCATTTGCATTTGCATTTGCATCGTTGCCGCACCCGCCCTAATACTTTATTGAACATTGTTGCAGCCCCTGCTCGTTGCCCCAACGTTGCTGGTGTCGGACCGCCAGAAGCAGAACTTTTATTGCATTTTCCCTTCAAGCCAGAAGCCTCCTGGCTTCAAATTTAACGTGGCTATGGAGGGCCAAAACTTTATCATCCATCATCTCTCTCTCTCTCTCTGTCTCTATCTCTCTCTGTATAGCCATCCCTTTTTTGTTGGCTACTTTGCCTGCTGCACATATGCAGAAACACACACAAATTTTCTTTGATGCTTTTAGTGTCTTCTTATTAAAAAGTTTTTAATCTTATCTCCAAAAGCTTTCAGTTCTGGCATTCCCCTCTTCTCTCTCCTTCTATGGAGATGAGCGATGCCTGGCAGTGCAGGGGAAAAGTTTAGCCGTAGTTCACTTTGCCTTGCCGCATGTGCATCTTCCTGCAACGAGGCGGGGAGGAGTCGCAGAGGAGTCGGAGAGGCATTGTTGACGAAAGTTGCGACTGCTATTAGAGGTCGTTTAGTTTGCGATTAGTTAGACCAAAGCCAGTTGGACCGTGTGATGGAACGCCGCCTGCCTACGGACGAATGTACGGCAGTACGGACGTACGTGACCAGGCGCCCCAAAAGTTGCAGCCGGAACTTTTGGAGAGCACTTTGCGTCGTTTCTTTGGGAATATTTTCGTTCTAGGTGTAGGGGAAATAAATTAAATTTCAGTTTTGAAAGTTTCCAAAGGCACAAAACGATGTATGAGATGGTTTCTTGGTTCATTGTATCTCCAATATCCCGAATGTCTGGGGGGGGTGCTTATCCTTTGGCCATCATCCGATTCCGTTCCTTGTCTTCTGTAATATCCAGCAGTTATACCCGCACGGCACTGCACTCTCGCATCTCCATTAAGAGATTTCCGGGAAATGCAGCGGATAAGATGCAAAAAAAAAATGAAGATATCTCCCGGATACGGCTCACAGAAGGGTGGATAGCGGCGTAAAGGGAATCGCTTAATTCCACGACAAACACGCCCAGTGACGACGACGACTTGAGCCAACAGAAAAGAAAGATTTATGCGAGGAGGCAGCAGGGGCAGGGGCAGGGCTAGGGACAGCGGCGCGTTGCAAGCGCGGACTCCAGTCGCGGGGATACTCCGTGTGTAAATCCATTCAGTCGGACTTTACGACAATGGGAGTACTGTGAAAATCCAGGCAGCCAGCAAAAAGGCAACAGAGCAGCCATTTTGTCGGCTGCGAATTAACATGTCTAGGCCTGGTCCTGGTCCTGGTCCTCGGCCTGGGCTGGGCTGGGCTGGGCTGGGCTGGGCTGGGCTGGGCTCTCTGGCTTTATTCAACCAAATACAGATGCAAATGCACACACACAGATGCACGCGTGCATGCTGCATGCTGCAGCAACAACTGGCCCCAAAAATAATTTCAGTTTTGTAGCTTTTACGAGTATGCTGCATGTTTTCCACTTCACAGGATTTTATGTTCCACTACGCTCGCCTCTTGGCTCAAGTGTTGGAAAATACAATTGCCTGGGCACACACACAAGCACAGGCTGAGAGTGAGGCATGCAACATTTCCGCATTTGTTGTTTTCTTTGGCTTTGTGGGGCAACGGTGCGCTGTGCCACCAAATGTTTTTCTTCTCTTTTTTTCCCCCCTCTTTCCTCTTTTTGCTTAAAAGACAATAAACAGTGTCCATGTGTGTGTGTACAATGCGTATCCTATATAGCGAAAAGATATAGGGTAACAATAGGGTATGCCTGCTTAAGCCAAGAGCTGCTTGATCCACATTTGAATTGAATAAGTTCTCATGTTTTCCCCCGCCCCGCCAAAAACAAAAGAGGAAAAGCCTGCTTTTTCCACTAGATGAGTTTCCAGTTTTCACTTTTTCCAGCAGCAGAAAACAGGACTTTATTCAAATCTTTAAAGCGAAGAGCAATTTGCATCTGCATCTGCACGTATGTATCTGTATCTGTATCTGTGTCTGTGTCTCGATTTAGGTGTATCCCCTCGCACTTGAGTATTTAATGCATATTTCACTTTTTTCCCGGGGCATTGTGTTAGTTTTTTGCCTTGTCTTCATAATTGTTGCTGTTGCAGGTTGGACATGGACTAAAACCTAATACCCTGCCACACGCACCGTCAGATGCTGCCCCACTGCTACTCTCCACTTGTTGTTGATGCTAGACACACACAGGAAGAGCGAGAGTGAGCGAGAGAGAGAGCACTTTGTAGCCATTTTGTAGCTAAAAAGTATCAAATGTTGTGCTAAGACTAGAATGCCACATACCACAACGTCAAAGCCGTTGCTGCGGACAGAGGACTTGGGGGCACGGAAGATGCAATCAACACACAGTCGTCTGAAGCCTAAGCCCCCCCACCCCATCCCTCCTTCCATCTTCCTTCAGCAACAAAAACATCCTGAGCCAGAGGCGACAGTGTGGCAAATAACTGTTTGTTTTTGTGTATGCCTCCTCAAGTGTGTGACAAGTTGCCACAGCAACAAAACGAGTTGCAATGGATTTTATTTTATTTCTTGTTTTTTTTTTTGTACTGCCCAAAACTGTTTCCAACACTTGCCTCCAACCACTCGCAATCCGCAGGAGCAACAGGACTTATATATGAACACGCTATAATATATATATACGTATATAATGTATGTAGAGGGGGGATGGGGAGAGTATATATAGCCGTATAGTAGTATAGTATTGCTGTGTGTACTTACAACTGTGATGGGATAGAAGGGATTTATGATGGTGAAGAGTAGAATGTGATTTGGCCGTGTAGTCTCGGGACGCTTTCTCCGTAGGTCGTCATTTGACTTGTTCATAAGTGCTTGCTGCTGGTTCTGTTGTTGTGTGGACTGTAAAAACATAGTATAAGTATATATATATATCATATATCGGTTTATATCGGTTCTCTTGTGAGTTATCAATATAGTTCGAGTACAAGTAGTTGAGTATAAGTAAATACGAGTATGCCTTGAGGACGAGTAGGGAGGGAGTGTAGGGTGTTTTTGCGGGGCCAGGGATTACCTTTTTTTTGCCAGATACGAGCAGCCTGAAGCCTTTGCCAGGAGTTCAAAGATCTATAGAGCTATTGTCGGCCTTCCGACAATGAAATAAATCTGCTATATGAAATCTATGGAAAATTGAATGAAAAATGTATTTTCTTATCCCAAGGCGAAAACATTGTGATATACCTTTAAGATTTAGCTTCAAATCATTCCACAATTTCGTATCTATATATGTATCTTTCAGCTACGATCCGCACGATACGGCTCTAACGAAACTTTTCCGATAAGCGAGTTCATTTTTCTGGTCTAATGACATTATCAGGCCTCCCCCCCGCTGAATCCCAGTCTTGCAACGATTTTCGCAATGGGGCCTATGATGCTGTTGAAAAGGCCACATAATTAACAGCGAAACAGAATGGTCTATAGTCTATCGTCTAGCTGGCTGGCTGCAGCAGGCAATGCCAGAGCATAATTTCCGTTTTGTTTTGTCGGTTAGAAGAGGTTTTTATAAATAAATTACGGAATTTAGGTGAACCATGTACATGTCACGTTCAAAATGTCAATCAATGGACGACATTGCGGCGACGCGGGCGGGAAGGGGGGGAAGGGGGGGGGGGGGGGGAGTGAACCGAACCGTGAGAGCCGTGAAGTGAATTTCAATTTTCGGAATTTTCGCACACACTGCAGTCGCAGGAAAACAAGATGTGGATGTGTATGTGTGCGGGTTCGGGCAGGTGTTTGGGCCACGTACAACGCGCATTCGAGCCGATATATTTGCACTAATTAACTCGATAGCGATAGCGATAAGATCCCCTCCGCTCTGCATGCAACACCTTGACATTTGCTAAACCCCAAGAGGCAGCTAGTAATTAACTAATTGGGCTTCCCTAGACTTTAACTAACTTTAAGGATGGTTTCTGTTTTTGTTTTTCAAGTAATTCCAAGTAGATCCGCCGCGCAGAGTGGCGCTCTCTCTCAGCCCTATTTTGTTTATTGTAGCATCTGCAAAGAGCCCCCAAAGGGGTGGGGGTGGGGCTCTGTTTTCACTGTTTTCATTGCCATCTAAGTTGTGCAATTAGGTTAATGGATCGTCAGGTGCTCGTCCAAGTTCTCGTTCTCTATGGGAAAACGTGCGCACAGAGAGTCCGAAATGCTGACCCAAATCGAAAGTGGAAGTGGCATTCGCGGCATTCGCGGCACTCGGGGAACAGCCAAACAGCCAAGCAGCCAAGGTGCCAGAAATACTGTTTTCACGAAGAACGACTTCTCCCCAGATACAAATATCTATTGATCCACCCTCTGGCAGCATCATTATGTACGGATTTATGGGGGAGACCTCATCAGAAGATGGTAATCCAATATCGGACAGACAGTTTCCTCCCTCAGGCAAAGCAGACAGCGTCCTTGGCTCACCCAAGGGTTAATTCAAATTTCAACAACTTTTTTTTACACACAAAAGAAAATCCCGGAAAAACTCAGAAACGAAGGAAAACATTTGTTTTCTGTCAAATTTTTGTGTTTTTTTTTTTTTTTTGTTATAATAATAATACGCTCTCTCTCGCTCTCTTTCGTACACCATGAATATTTTCTTTTTCCCTTTTTTCCACCCCCGCCCCCACCCATACGCGCAGGCTAGGAAAACTGTTGATTAAATTACAACAACAACAACAGCAACGTGCTAAAATGATTGATGGCTGGATGGATAGATTGACGGACGGATAGATAGATGGATAGATAGATAGATGAATGGTTTGTTCGGTTGTTATTTGGGGCTTAAGTGCATTCAGCATTGAGGAGATTTCCTTCCCGATTTTCCCCCATTTTTCCTATGAAATTTGTACAATTTGTAGTCGTATTTTGGTTTTGGTTTTCTTCTCTTTTTTTGGTGGTGGGGGGGAAACATTTGAAACATTTTTAGCACAGCGGCGGACGAATGAAAATAGTCCCCGCCACAGAGAGCAGAGAGGAGCAAAAGCAAAAGCAAAAAGCAAAAAAAAAAGCTGTGACAGAGGCCGTGCTGCAGCGGTGTGGCGGCGTGGCGGTGGTGCAGTGTCTCGGCTGCATACCGCACCGCATTTCAACTCGAACCGCAACGAAATGAAGATGAATTACCCACCAAAAATCCCGCCAGACCAAGGATTCAAAAAAATACAAAAAACCAAAAAAAAAAAAACGACGACGACGATGTTGTCGGTTCATGCAAATCGCGAATTGCAAATCACAAATAAATTTCGCTTCGAGAAATTTGCACTCAGTCGATCAAACGGTCGCCTATAAAGTGCAGTCTCACCCCAGCATCCACGGCAGATACAAAGATACATAGATACACAGATATAAGTGCGTTTGCCAAGAAATAAAAAACCGAAAAAGAAAGATGCGTCTGCAGTCGCAGCGTAGATGCAGATGAAGAAATTGCCGCCGCCTGGCCTGGCCTGGCCTGGCCTGCCTGGCAATCGCAATGAACTGCAAGTCGACAAAATCTCAGATAAAGAATCGGGAGGTTGTAAAAATAGCAAGAAATATAGCTGTAGAGTCAGTCAGTCCGTCAGACCGTCAGCCAGAGCCAGAACAGACGAGAGTCTGTCGACTGGGCGCCCCATCATCCCATCGACATTTATCAAAGTGTCCTCGCAATGGCACTGGCACTGGAATGGTGTTGGCGTAAGGATGCCCAAGGATGTGCACACGATGGGGGAATCTTCACACTCTCTCTGTCTCTATATCTGCCTCAGATGATCCATCTGCAACATTTGTTCAGCTCATTTGCCGCCTGTCCCAGGTGCTGGCTAATCAAAACAGCTCCCAAACTGTCCATCTCTGTCCCATCCATCGGGCAGCCAGGCAGGCAGGCAGGCTGGCAGGCACATGTTGCTGCCCTTCATTTTTGGCCAGAACTCAGAGAGCGAGCGATATGCCTGCAACAGAAATGTCTGGCGACAGCAACATGAGGCAGCATTTGTTACTCGCAATTAGATGCACTGTACTCCGCGCGGCAGACGTGCCCCAGGGACACACAGACAGACGGACGGACGGACAGACGGACGGACAGACAGACAGACGAGAGACGAGAGTGCCCGGCAAATGTCGAACGAAAATTGCACATAAAATGCAATTTACAAAATGTTTTCTTCAACGTTTTTCCCTTGCGAAATTTAATTAAAACAGCAGAGCAGCCACAGAACGGCAACAGCAACAAACGACAGCAACAACAGCAACAACAACAACGACAACAATCATGAAATTAAATGCTGCAGATCAGTGAGCGACAACGGCAGCGGCAGCGCCGGATTGGGCCAAGTAAAAACATCAAAAGTCCAAGTCAAGTGGCGGGCCCCAACAGCACATCAAAAAATGGGGAAACAAAAGCGAAATATACTCAATTTTCGGTTTTACAAAATAGCCAAAATAATGAAGCAATGTGTAAGTTATAAACGGCGAGTGTGTGTCTGGTCTGGTCTGGTCTGGCCAGCGTACTGCATTTGTATCTGTTGTACGATATGAGTATCTGCGGGATACTCGGCCTCCCCGTTCTGATGATGCTTCTGCCGCTGCTGCTGCTGCTTGTGTGGCAATCAATCATTCTGGCAAAGACAAACCTTTTAGAGCATATCTAGTATATAGAGGAAAATCGCTTATAGTCGTACACCCCCGATCGCATGCTATTGGCATTGCTCATCACGAGAATACGAATACGAATACGAATACGAATGCCTGTGGCCGCAAACGTCAGAGATCCCATGTTGGCCACTCGCAGCAGGGCATGACATAAGTACCAATACGTGCATATATCTGTATCTGTATCTGTATCTGTATCTGTATCTGTATCTGCTGGCTGCTAAATCTCTTGGTAACAAAACCGAACGGCAATTGCTCTGGACCCGTACCCGTACCCGTACCCGTAACAGATTCACCATTTGGCCAGATCTCTTATCTCAGTTAGCCACGCTCATTAGACACGGCGGGTGGCTGGGGGTGGCACCTCCACGAGCACGTGGAGCATTGAAAATTGTCATTAGTTCGGCGTTTGATTTTTCCGTTCCCCACCCAAGGAGGGTGGGGGGCTGTCTGCCATGAGTGTACAAACAATATGTGTGACGGGGGGATGGAAAAAGTATTGTATGTGCTGTGGTTCCTAATGATTTTCAATTAGAGTTTCAGTCGGCTGACACTTTTCCACTTTCCCCGCCTCACACACGCACACTCGAGCCCCGCCTTCGGCCGGGGATTAAGGCCAGCGAATGGCTGTGTCTATTGATATTAAAGTTTATGTTTGTCTGGTTTCAATCCCCTGGATGAGATTTGAGCCAGAGAAACGATTGTATGTACAGATACCGTAAGTATCTCTGGGAGTAACATTTGAGACACATCGCTGTGCATCATCGTCCCCCCTATATCTGATCATTAGGGAACCCCTGGGCCGATACTCAAGAAGGCCAGACACCCACCCACCCTGCCACCCTGCCAGCCATAAATCCATCTATCTTTTCAACAAACTCTGCTGTTTGCTATTTGCTTGTTTGCTGTTTGCTGTTGATTTGCGTTTTCGTCATTTTAATGTCAGTTCAGTTGACGGGCCCAGACCAGACCCCCAGATACTCGCACTGCTCCGCCCAGACAGATATTCAGATAGATGGCGGAGAGAGGCCCGTGGCCCGTGGCCCGTGGTCCGTGGTCCGTGATCCGCACGCGTTGATCACTTATGACAACAGTTGGCTCAACGCGTCCGCTCCTCTGTGCTGGGCATCGACTCCGCTTCGGGGGCATGTAATTTATGGGGGAAAAATCTTTTGGCCGCTTCAAACATAAAACAATTTTCTGTGCTCTGCGCCGCTTTTCATGTGAAAATT